ACCTGAAAGCCTGGCCTAATAGCTCGCACACTATTTCTTTGAAAACAAATAATACTTTTAGACCATTAAATATAAAACTTTGAAATAAGTTTCTCAATGTTGGAATTTGAAGTTTTAAAAATTTAGATACTATAAATAATGTATTATTTTCTTTTCCATGTATTAAGCATACAAGTTTTAAAGGGTAGAGTAATGCAAATGATAGNTCGCACACTATTTCTTTGAAAACAAATAATACTTTTAGACCATTAAATATAAAACTTTGAAATAAGTCTCTCAATGTTGGAATTTGAAGTTTTAAAAATTTAGATACTATAAATAATGTATTATTTTCTTTTCCATGTATTAAGCATACAAGTTTTAAAGGGTAGAGTAATGCAAATGATAGATAAGTGAGTAGGTATCAACCTAGTTGAGATGTATTAATTCTATTGGATGTAGTTCATCATCTAATCAAAAATAAAATTATTTATTATTTTATTTTTATCCATTTTAACTCTACTTTTGATTCAAAAATATAATTTACAAAAATATTAAGTTACAAAAATATTTATTATTTTTAAATGAAGTTGCATATAAAAAAGCCTGCTCAATAGGCTTGCGGGTAGCCTACCCTATCAGAAGCCCGGCCCGGCCCAGCCCAGCCGATAACTTACTTGGGTAAGAGCTTGAGCCTACACTACTCAGGCTCAGCCCGAAAAAAAATTCGTAAGCCTAGCCTGGCCCTGCCCATAGACACCCCTAAGAATGTTCATACACCATTAGTCAATATTCTACTTAAGAAACTAATAAATTTAACTAGGAAAGAGTCAGAAAACAGATTTCACTATCAAGATGCAACTAAGCAGTCTATGCTCCTCCGCTTTTCATGACAAACNTCTGCTCAATAGGCTTGTGGGTAGCCTACCCTATCAGAAGCCCGGCCCGGCCCAGCCCAGCCGATAACTTACTTGGGAAAGAGCTTGAGCATACACTACTCCGGGTCAGCCCGAAAAAAAATTCGTAAGCCTAGCCTGGCCCTGCCCATAGACACCCCTAAGAATGTTCATACATCATTAGTCAATATTCTACTTAAGAAACTAATAAATTTAACTAGGAAAGAGTCAGAAAACAAATTTCACTATCAAGATGCAACTAAGCAGTCTATGCTCCTCCGCTTTTCATGACAAACATGCCAAAATTTACATTACTAATGCTTGGGTTACCATCACATTTCAATAAGCATGCTTCTTATAAGCAACAATCATGTTTGCTAGAGTAAAATCATGGGTGAAGTTGCGAGTAACTCATTAGGTGTAAAAGAAAAATGGGTTTATCATTCAATCTTAGACAGTGTGTACCATTTGATTCAAATAAGAAAACCTGCAAGTTTATGTAAGCCATGATTTCATTAATTTTATCTAGGAACTGTCATGACCAAATAACGAATTAGACTATGGTACAACTAAACACAACGTTACACATATAAAATTTTATTATTTTATTTTTACACTTTGTTTAATTATTTTCAAGATCATTATTTACAAATTTACAAATAACTCAAAAACAAGATCTATAAGTGGGGAATCATTATTCGGTATGACACTGAAAAAGTTAAATTTTGGCACGGCCCCAAATAACTCAAAGACAAACATGATATAAATGTTTCACATCTACATTTGTTTATGGTGGTTGAAGCTATTTTCAGGCTATATACCGTTTCAGAGTCTTTTATGTATTCATTTATATGATGATATGAGGTTTTTCCACTGTGTACAATTTTGAGCATAAATTATTTTTTTTTAACTCTTATCCATTCATGTACTAAACAGTTTAATTAGAAAAACTAATAAAGAAAAATATCATCTTTTTGTTGATTTTTTTTTCATGCTTTAGCAAAGAGTTCCTTTGCAGAGATAATGTGACCACCCAACAGAGTTGGGCTTTCAGGCAATGCTTAAAGTTTGTGTTGGCTCATTGCCAATTGTTTTACTATATCAACATATGAATGAAAAATAAGTAAACAAATTAAAGTTCTGAGACTTAAATAAAAGGAAGGTTGTGCATTGTTTGGTTTTCTTTAATCTTTGGAAATGCTTTAGGTAAACAATAAGTTTGTAGAATTTGCATAATGTTGAGGCAACAGAAGGACATATTAAGTTGCACTCTACATGCACGGTGTAAAATGTCAGAATAAATTTACAGGGAACTAGCCAAGGGATTAACAATGTTTGATCATTGGCTAAAATGTCATCGTAGTGTATACTAGGGGTGTCAATCGTGTCGGGTTAAACAGGTAACGAGTAAAAAACATACAAACTCATACACGACACGTTTAATAAATGGTTTAACACGAACACGAACCGTTTAATAAAATAGTAACACGACACGACTCGTTTAATCCATTTAAAAATAACAAAAAAAGCAACAAAATTATTATCTTAACAAATTTTTACACTCTATTTTTTTTGCTTCCAACTGTACTTTCCTCGATTAGAAGAGTTCCAACCAACAATCCACATGATAAGCCATACCAAAAGGAGGAGGTCCACTACGTCTTTTATAGGCAACTAAAGCCCCTCTCTCCACTCCCCTATGAATGTGGGATTCAAAGAAAAGGTAATTCAATGCCTCAAATGCTCAANCACAAAGGTCAACTAAAAGGAGGAGGTCCACTACCTCTTTTATAGGCAACTAAAGCCCCTCTCTCCACTCCCCTATGAATGTGAGATTCAAAGAAAAGGTAATTCAATGCCTCAAATGCTCAAAGCTTGTTTCTTATTTTTTTTGAACTGATTTTTTTACTTTTTTTTTGAGTTGTTTTCTTTATTGTTTTTTCTTTACTCATTCATTATTATATATATATATATATATATATATATATATATATATATATATATTTATTTATTTAAACGGATAAATTGGTTGACAGGTCTCACCCGAACACGACTCGTTTATTAAACGTGTCTAGCGGATCAACCCGTTTACCACTCAAACCCGCTTAATTCGTGTCGATTCGTGTCGGTTAATTGTGTCGTGTCAGATTTTGACAGGTCTAGTATATATATATATATATATGTCTAAAAAAAAACTATAAAAAATAATACACGTACAACGCACGTGTGCATCAACTAGTTAAAAGAAAAAGAAAAAATATATTAAATTTTAGATATCATACCAAAAAATAACTTAAATTGTACATCTTCATTTTTGAGTTATTTATAATCACTGTTTATGAAAATACAAAGAGCAATGCAATTGGACCTACCTTATTGACTCAAATCATTAATGATCATTGAATTGATTGTGAACTTCAATATTTGTTGGACTCGCAATCATTTCAATGGTGTTGAATAATTAGGTTAATAAATTATATTCAAATAACATTATTAAAATATAAATAAAATAATAAAATAAAATGATAAACTTTAAAAATTTTCAAGTATCATAAAAATATTGTGATTACGTGAAAGCGAGATAATGTTATTGGAACATAATTTATTAATGAACGACACTATTTAGACTTAATTTACTGACCTAATAATTTATAACTATTAAATTCACAATTGACTCTAATATTTATCTAGTCCCATAACCAATGCAATGATTTAATTGAATTAAATCAACAAACCAAATCCAAATTACATTATTGATACCAAAAACTAGGAGTGCAACTTGGGCGAGCCAACTCGAATTCAACCCGAAAAAACAGGGTTGGGTTAAAATTTTTAATACTTGGGTTGGGTCTAGGCAAAAAAACTCTAACCCGAATTGAATTTCGGCAAACCTCGGGTTGTCAAGTTCAACCCAAATATTAAATCAGGTTGAACCCGAATATACATAAATATATTTAACTAGGATTAATATTTATCTTCACTCTTTAGGGCCTGTTTGGTATGTTTTTTGAGAAGGGTTTGGATTAGATTGTCCAAACCCGGGTTTGACCAAAGATGAAATTTAAAGAAGGGATTTAATATTCAATGCTATCCATACCCATGTTTGATATGCGTAGAAATATATGACTATTATGATAATATATTTGTATTTAAATGAATATTGTACCCCTTAACTAATTTAATTCAAACATGAGTATGAATATATGAGAGTATAAATGTCATTTGAATGTGAAACTCCTAAACCCACATATGAAACCCCCTCATGGGTTTCATGACCGGGCTGAATTTTAAACCCTAGGCTAAATCCATAGTTATCAAACATGGGTTTAAAGTGGTTCAGTCTTCCCCGGCCCATGTTCAAAAACCCCCCCAAACCCACATACCAAATAGCCCCTTAGAATCCAGACTTTCACTTCCCTTCAAGTCTTCACCCTTACTCCTCACTCTTATATCCCTCTCTCAATCATCACTCCTCCCTCTCTCAATCGTCACTCGTCTGAGTCGTCTTAGACTTTCAGCCTCCCTATCTCACTCGTCACTCCTCATTCTCTCACTCCCTTTCTCTACATTTGCGTCTCGCCCTTAATTTCAGATCAGTTGAAAAAAATCAGATCTACACTTGAAAAAATTAAATCTACACTTCAAAAAGTCAATCCAACTTAAGTAATTCAAACCGAACCTGATTTTTAACCCAAAAATTAAGTAATCCGATTTCAACTCGAGCCCGATCAAATTAAACTCGGACAGTATTTTGTTTGAATACTTCGGGTTGAGGTAGAGTTAATATTAGAATTATGATTGAAGATTATATATTAAGATTGGACTAAGATTTACATCTCATTCTGCCGGAGTTGCACCCTGCCAAAAACTAATTTTCAGTACCAGTCTCTCTCTCGGTTTTCTGCTCTGTTCTCATGATTTTCGTTTCGGAATCCCCAGACGCAAATCTTCAACTCCGTTCGAGAATCATAGCCAAACCATTCAAGAAAAGGATGATCAAACACGCAATATAATTCTCATCGCTTCTCTCTCCAACTTCTCTTCAAGAAATCTCTGCCAAAATTTCATTTCGCACCAGACGCATCTCTACCCAGTAATGAAAATCTTCATATTGTAACAACTGCAATGCGTTCATCATCTATTCATCTTCTCTCACTCCTTTTCTTCTTGTTCTGTACCTTCTTTTCAACATCTTTTTCTGTCCCTTTCTTGCCTGAAAACAATGTCACTCTATTTGGTGATGCGTTCTTCAGAAACAACTCCATTAGTCTCACCAAAGAACTCAACTGTCTCTCTCCTCCTCCATCTTCTTCTTCTTCTTCACTTTCTTCTGGGATTGGAAGAGCTTTCTATGTGTACCCAATTCGATTTCTTGATTCTTCAGCCAACACCACAGCTTCTTTCTCCTGCAGTTTCTCTTTCAAGATCATTCCTTCTCCTTCATGTCCTTTCGGGGACGGTTTCGCCTTTCTGATCACTTCTAATGAGGGTTCTTTAAGTCTCTCTGATGGGTACATGGGTCTCCCAGAACAGGCCTCAAATTCCCAAGATGCATTTGTTGCAGTCGAATTCGATACTAGTTTCGATCCATCTCTCAATGATATCAATGGCAATCACATTGGCATTGATATTAACTCGGCCGTGTCTTTGGCTTCTGTTGATGTCTTATCGAGAGGTATTGATCTCAAGAGTGTGAGGGACATGACAGCTTGGATTGAATACAGAGATTTCGAGAAGACAATATGGGTCTGGGTTGGATACTCAATGATCAGACCTTCAAGCCCCATTCTTGTTACCCAAATTGATCTTTCCAAGCAATTCAAAGAATTTATGCATGTTGGTTTCTCTGCTTCTAATGGAAAAGGCTCAGCAATTCACATCGTTGATCGTTGGCGATTCAAAACTTTTAGTGGATACATTCCTTCTACAATGCCAATGAATACGGTTGAAGAAGGGGACTGTTTGATCTGCTTCCCTGGTGATTCAAGTGTCGAGAATGATCCCTCCAATCGTGATAGCTCGAACAAAAAGTTACTCCAATGGGCGCTTGGAATTGGGGGCATTGCTGCAATTATCATCTCTGTACTTGCAATTCTAGTTATAGTCTTTTGGTGTTTGATTAGGAGGAAAAGGCCTAGTAGCCAAATTCGACGTTTCCAAGGGAATCGAGTGCCTATAAGATTGTCACTTACTCAGATTAGATCGGCTACAAAGGGGTTCAATCAAAACAGAATCATTGGTGAGGGAGCTTCAGCAATTGTATATGAAGGGTCTCTTCCCAATTGTGGATCTGTGGCAGTTAAAAGGTTCAGTCAGGTAAAACAGACTAATTCTATGCAAACTCCATTTAATACTGAATTTGCAACAATGGTGGGGTGCTTAAGGCACAAGAATTTAGTTCAACTCCAAGGATGGTGCTGCGAGAGGGAAGAGCTCGTGCTCGTTTACGAGTACATGCCCAATGGAAGCCTTGACAAAATCCTCCACAAACGCAGCAGTGCCACAAAATTTCTCACTTGGGAGCGACGACTAAATATAGTTCTTGGAGTTTCTTCAGCCCTTATTTATCTCCATGAAGAATGTGAGAGACAGATAATTCACAGGGATGTTAAGACTTGCAACATAATGCTTGATGCTGAGTTCAATGCCAAGCTTGGAGATTTCGGCTTGGCAGAAGTTTATGAGCATAATTCCAGAACAAGAGACGCGACTCTGCCCGCTGGCACAATGGGATATCTTGCTCCTGAGTATGTCTACACCGGCGTTCCAACTGTGAAAACAGATGTTTACAGCTTTGGGGTGGTAGTGCTGGAGGTGGCATCAGGGAGGCGACCCGTGGAAGAGGATGGGACTGTGATTACAGATTGGGTGTGGGATTTGTGGGAAAAGGGGGTATTAATTGAGGCCATTGATCCTAAGCTGCTCGGGCAGTTCAATAGGGTGGGGATGGAGAGGATGCTCATTGTGGGACTTTGTTGTGTGCACCCAAACCATGAGAAGAGGCCAATGATCAAAGAAGCAGCAAGAATGCTTAGAGGTGAGGCATCACTACCTGTTTTGCCAGCAAGAAAACCAACTGTTAGGATTCAGTCTGTTTTGCCTGAAGAGTCTGAAGAAATACTGAGATTTGGTGAAGACTTGGATGACACACCATGGTCAACACCTAGGACACATTTTAGCAAAAACTAGCATTGGACAAACTTCTGATTTTATTGTGTAAAAGTGTTCAACATTCAATTGATTTGTCACTAGGCATGCTTGTGCCTTGTTTTTTGGTGGGAGTTTTTGGAGATTCTTCAATTTATCCCTTTCCGAATTAAAATGATAATGTTCGAATATTAATCACAAGAGTAATCCTCATTTGTGGAATGTTATACGGAAATAAAATCATACAATTAGGGGTTGTTTGGTTCACGGGAAATGGGGGGATAAGGGGCTGAAATTGGAGAAAAATAAGTCATGAGCTTTCCTTGTTTCCCAGGTTTCGATGACGTTTTCTAGAATAGGATTATAATCCGATCCCACATTGAATAGTGAAAAAAAATACCTTGTTTTCAATGTTATTTAAACACACCCGATACGGATTTAACAAGATGTATTAAATACTAGTTATTGCCTATTCTTAAAGGCACGGAGTATTAAAAAATAGTAAATAATAAACATATTTATATTCATATCTAAAATTAAATCACAAATATAGAGAAGAGATAAAAAAATTTAAGCATTTGTTTGCAGTAGGGGCGAAAGGTGATGAACAACAATAGTGGTGGTAGGAGACGGTGATGGTTGTGGTGGGTGACAATGACCGTGGTGGCGACGATAGTGGTCGTGGTGGCGGTGGCGGCGGCGACGATGGTGTTGGTTGCAGTGGTGATGGTGACGACGATAGTGGTGGTGGTGGTGGCGATGGTGGCGGCGACAATGATTGTGGTGGCGGCGGTGACAGTGATGGTGGTGGTGGTAAGACGGTTTTAAATTATTTTTTTTAAGGGTTAATTACAAGTTACACTCCGAAAGATAGTTTGAATCTCAATTTAGACCTCCAAAGATTAAAAATTTTAATTTGTACTTTCAAAGATAAAAATTTGTATCAAAGTGCACCCTCAAAGATAAAAAATCTCAATTTGCACTTTTAAAGATAAAAAATCTCAATTTGCACCCTCAAACATAAAAATTTGTATCACTGTGCACCTAAAACTAAATTGATAAATTATACGTAGATCCCCTCATACTTGTCACTTAATCATTTGGATCTCTTCACATTTAGAATATTACTCCTACATCTTATGACGTTTGTGCACGTGCAATACGTAACCTATTTTCGTTGATATATGTTAATATAACCGTTAAAAATATGATTTTATCCTAATAAAAAATTATAATTTTATATTACCTTTTTTTTGTGGGTCTAATATACTCTAAAGATCAAAATCAAGTTTATCATTTAAATGTCTAATAGAATGTAGATATTTATATAATATTTTTTATATCCAATGCAATATATTACTCAATGTGCAACTCTTTATTCTATTAGACATTCAAATGGTAAGCTTGATTTTGAATTTTAGAGTATATTGGACCCATAAAATAAATGGTAATATAAAATTATAATTTTTTTATTAGGATAAAATCATATTTTTTAACTGTTATATTAACATATATCAACAACAAGGGGTTACGTGTTACACGTGCATAAACGTCATGAGATGTAGAAGTAATATTCTAAATGTGAAGGGGTCCAAATGATTAAGTGACAAACATGAAGCGATCTAGGTATAATTTATCAATTTAGTTTTAGGTGCACATTGATACAAATTTCTATATTTCAGGGTGCAAATTAAGATTTTTTTATCTTTGTGGGTGCACATTGATACAAATTTCTATTTTTGAGGGTGCAAATTAATATTTTTGATCTTTGAGGGTGCACATTGATACAAATTTCTATCTTTGAGGGTGTAAATTGAGATTTTTGATTTTTGAGGGTACAAATTAAGATTCGAACGATCTTTCAGGGTATAATTTGTAATTAACCATTTTTTTTAAATATTTATGAGAAATAATTTTTAAAAGTACTCACTCCGAACACACTCTTAGAGACCTATTTTTCCTATTAAATTTAGGGTGTTAATATTAGCCGTTATATTAACTTTAAAATAAAATTTAAAGCGATTTCAATCGCGAATAGTAAAAGTTATTTTATTTATCTTTTAAAATTTGAATTGTAAGTTATTTTATTATATAGATGNTTCAATCGCGAATAACAAAAGTTATTTTATTTATTTTTTAAAATTTGAATTGTAAGTTATTTTATTATATAGATGTTCATGCACATCCATTGTGCTTTAAAAAAAAATATTGTACCAAACAATGAATTAGTTAATCAAAAGTAATGGCCTTGTGAGTAACAAAATGTTGGTGATTCTACTAGAGAAGAGTTCATATAATCACCAGGTGTTGCTCCACCTCTAACCTTCAATCATATTGGAGGGTTTTTGATACTTCTTCTCCATGGAACAAGAGTTCCCTTTCACTACATGTTTGCGTGGCATTTAGGTTTTGATTCTTTATTATTTGAATACTGTCTTTGAGCTATATAAACCTGTGAACTAAATGAAAAGAATGTGTTATGTACGAGATCGTATACTAACATTAAGACAAAACATAACTACAAAGTTTACATCGAAACGAATGCAAGAAAATAACTTCTCCATTTTCTCATCAATTAACAGTATATGTCTACCACCCCCAAAGAACCCAGTATCCTAAGGGGCTGTTTGGTATGTAGGTTTGGAGAGTTTTGGAACATGGGTTGGGGACTAAACCCCCTTAAACCCATATTTAGTAACTATGCATTTAACCAGGGGCGGAGATAGGGTAAGGTTAATTTAAAATTATAATAAAATTAATTTTTGTAATAACTTGCCCCCACTCATTTTTTTAATGCACTAAAAATTTAGACTCAAAGTTCGCTCATAGAGACTTGATCTCACAATTTTTTATTTAATCTCTAGTTATCTTTATTCGGTCTACAATGACTCACTTAAGTTACCGAATCAATCATTCTCTGAATTCGATTACTAAGGCATACATATATATTTTTGACCAATTATCTAAGTTCAAATATACTACATCATTTTCTAAGATTTTAGATTTGGGCACATAAAAAAATTTGATCTAATTATGATTCAATTCAATTCACTTCGATCAAATATACTACATTATTTTCTAAGATTTTAGATTTGGGCGCATAAAAAAATTTGATCTATTTATGATTCAATTCAATTTACTTCAATTCAATTTGATATGCATACACAAATATGTATATGTAAACATTTGATAAAACTAAACTATTAAATTGAATTAAAATTACAATGCGACACACATATAGATATATATGTATATATAAAACATTGGATTTTTGATAAAATTCATAATATTTAATAGATTCAAATATGGATTAAAAAAACGAAATCAGTTGAATAATTAGATTAGATTCAAAATAGGGTTTTCAAGACAAATTGTTATTCGGATGAGTCAAAATCTTATCATTGGCAAGCACACTCACAAAATAATATGTCAAAATAACATTCTCTACGAAAACTGTCTTTATTTTAATGCATTTAAAAAAAATTATATTAGTTTTTCATAGTCAAATATCATTTTTCACGTGTATTTATATGTGAAATCTTTGAAAGTAAAAAAAATAATATGAAGAATTATTTTATAAAAGGTAGGAATTTTTTTTTATAGAGAATAAAATTTTGAGATAATAAATATGTTCACTAGATGTAACGAATTTTGATAATTGTTGAGTAATCATTCTCTTTAACTTGATGGTTGCCTCCGGTACTCTTTAACTTGATAATTGCCCCCACTCAAAAAGAAATTTTGGCTCCGGCCCTGTATTTAACCTAGGCTTTGAAATCCGGCCTGAAACCCATGGAGGGGTGAGTTTCATGTATGGGTTTGGGGGTTTCACATTCAAATGACATTTATACCTCCCATATATCCATATCTATGTTTAAATTAAATTGATTAAGGGGCATAATAATTATTTATATACAAATATATTATCATAATAGTCATATATCCCTGCATATACCAAATATGGGTGTGAACAACATTAAATGTTGAATCTTATCTTTGGGTCAAACCCGGGTTTGGATAAGTCAATCCAAACNCCCTGCATATACCAAATATGGGTGTGAACAACATTAAATGTTGAATCTTATCTTTGGGTCAAACCCGGGTTTGGATAAGTCAATCCAAACCATTCCCAAAAAATATACCAAACAAGCCCTAATTGATTTGGCTTTTTCAAAAAAAAAAATTTTTGGGTTTTAAGGATCAACTCCAGGTTTAGATGTTATAGCCTAATAGGTTACTAATTTGGGGCACTGCCTTTGAACCTCCTTAAAGAGCTTTGTCCACCACAGGCTCGAGACCGGGTCTATCGGCCCAAACCTCCATTTTGTTGTGTTCCATGGACTAAGGTTTTCGACATTTTGCAATTAAAATGCAAAAAGTTTTACCTGGAAGCTATCTTCAATGTTGATTTAAATTCTTACTCAAATTTAAATACAAGTTTAATTTGGTACAGACTATTTTAATAGAAAAATTCAAATATTTATAAAAATTTTCATTACATCCCAAAAACTCATTTTTTAACATTTTTTTTGTTCAAATTTCAAAACCTTGTTCTCTTTTTGGAGTTGTCTATGGTATTAGGGAAAACAATATTTGGTACTGTACAGACTTTTATCATATTTATGAGTATTTTTATTACATGTAAGATTATTTTTATCACTGTTGTGACACCGAAAAAAGTGGTAAAAATAATTACTATAACTGATGATGCACAAAAATGGTTTTGCNGTAAGATTATTTTTATCACTGTTGTGACACCGAAAAAAGTGGTAAAAATAATTACCATAACAGTGATCAAAATATCCACAAATATAATAAATCATTCGTAAAAGTAATAATTTTTTTTGTATCAAAGAAAAGTAATAAAAATAATTATCACAATAATGATAAAAATACTTACAAATGTGATAAATCACTAATAAAAATAATAAAATTTTTGATTGTAAAATAATTCACAAAAATATACATTAAAATAATAAAATTTAGAGGTACGGGACTTGAAAGTTTTCTTTGGTACCGTAGTTAAGTCCTCTCTTTAGTCT